TCCCTGGTCCAGGTAAATGATGGACTCTATAGGCAGCGGAGCGGCGCATTCTGCTCCATTAAAAGTGAAGTACCAGCGCTGGCAACAAGCTGTCTTACACTTCAGCCTGAGTGAGCCGCTGAACAGCACACGGAGAGCACTGTCTGCACGCTGCTTAGTGAACGTACACTCCTGAGGACAGTAACACAGGAAGAGCTGATGAATCTGATGGCTTGTTTACAACACACCTGCTCGAAAGAAGCACATAAACCAACCATATCCTGCAGAAAAATACTGTGGTATGGTGATGGTCTAAGATGGTATTTCCAAAGTGCTTTGAGTCTTACCATAGTTTGGAATGATTCCCAAGAGGTTTCCATCCCTTTCTATGACTTTTCCATACATTATGATAATTACTAAAACAATTTTATAGAAATTGCACTCATTTTTTTTTTTGGCAAAGAACTGAGAAAATTTTTCAATATTGAGAACTGACTTTATTTATTTATTTACTTGAATTAGAAATTTTAAACTGTTTTTCCTCACCTAAAAGCATGGTATTACCATGGTACTTTAAATGTAATATTTTTTATTTAAAAAACAAACAAACATGTAAATACTATGATTTTTACATAAAGTACCATGGTACACAGAAAATAACAACAATCAGAAATGAGTAAACTTCACCAATAATTACAAAGGAACAGCAAATCGCACATTGAATTAAATGTGACATTTTGAAATAGACAGACTGAAATTTTCTTATAAATTTTGAAATCGAAATTTTCTTTCTCTGTATTTTCTTTTGAAACTTACTCCAATAATCTTTGTTTTATTTACAACGTCCAAAAATAATTTTTATAGTGTACCAGTGTTGTTACTGTTGGCTACAACTAAAAATTGTTTATAAATATGTAATAAAGCTGAACAAAAATACATATGAAAAACTTCAACGTAAAAAAATATAACTACTTAATTTTACTTACTAAACTTAAAAAATAGAAATATCGCCTTGAGAACTAAATGAAATAAGCTTAAGTACTAAAATTGCTCAAACTATAACTTAAATAAAAATGAAAGCTATATAAAATATTTCTGAATAAAAGAAAACTAATAAATATGACAAAAGCACATAAAAATTACTTAAACTAAAATGAAAATTGAAAATGTTAAACTAAAAACTAATACCAATTATTAAGTATATAAATAATAAAGCAATGTTTTTGTGGACATGGTATTCTCTTAATAAAGCATTTTCATCATTGTGACCTTACTGTAATTTTGCCCAGGTCAATGCCGTAGTTGAGAGAGTTCCAGGCACATTGCTTGTAGTAGGGTTTCCACGGCTCTTCAAACCTCTCGGTCACACATTCACCCTTCTCCCCTTTTGCACCATCCCGGCCCGGTACTCCGGGAGTACCTGGAATTCCGTTCACTCCTGGATTTCCATCCCTCCCCTGGGTGCCTGCTGGACCCTGGATGCAGCTGGAATACTGAAAACATACAGCATTCAACAGGAGCTTTTTGGCATGATATTAAACAACATATTTTGTAGCTTGGAGTACCTGTAGGAAACAATCTCATCCAACTCTAGTCAATGTAATGCATCTGGAATGAGCTTGTATCGTGTGGTCTTTGGTTACTTATGAAAATACCATGCTATGGCTAATACTTAATGTTTTTTGCACAATGTTGCTTGCTAATGGGTATGGAGAAGTAGCCTACACTGGGACACTGCCCGCATTAAGCCTGGCTGGATGGAGACTGAATCATCTGTCCATTCAGACTGTCATTATGTGATTCATTATCTGATCACACAGTTGTTCACAGAGTCTCAGATAAACGGCTTAAATGCGGATACGGCATTCTTTGACAGTATGATAATCTTAAAACATGCAGGGTTATACTTATTAGTCGCGTACTAAACTGATTAACCAAGCAAAACGCCCTATGAATTAATAAAATAACACATAGTATTCATATTTCATGGTATTAGATGATCTGTTACTTGCGTTTAAAGGGGTCATATGATGTTGCTAAAAATAACATTATTTTG